CTGGTGAGATCGAAAAACGAATCTCTTCTTCATGTACTTTCATTCGAAATGAAGGTCCCCCTAATAAAAATAATGCAAAAAGTGAATCTAAAGCTTTCTTCAGTAGTTCCTCCGTTTGGACAATTTTCGGACCCTCCTTCTGGATCAGGCTGCTACAAGGTTCTGCGCTGATGTGGTAAGGTCTATGTGGAAGAGACCTGCCAACCCGTCCAGAAGAGACTATTCCAACACAAAACCGCTTGTAAAGATGCTCGCTGAGTTGATACAAGACACTGAACCGTGTCTAAAACACAACGTTTTGGGGGGCTACGGCGATTTCATGGCGACGTGTTGGGTTAAAGAGTTTAGAGAACATCTTGAAGAGGAGAAACGAGTGTGAGAAATTAAGTGGATAGGCTTAAAGAGAGAGAGAGAGGGAGAGAAAGAGAGGGAATGCTACAATCACACCTCTCATGGCATGCACATTACATACACACAATAGACAACAGCACAAGGCCAAACATGATTCAACTTTGGAATTTCACTCATCTGCAATCATGCAGAGGAAGTTTGCGGTTGACAACCAAAGCATGGGATGCCTCATTAAGATTGCGAAGCGACCGGGCTTGCAGACGGCCAGCTTTTCTCTTGGTTTGGTGTGTTTTTGCTGCATTTCGCGGAATACGGATACCTGCTCTGCTGATGTCTGTCACGGTACAGACGAAAGCTGAGCACAATTTCATCGGAGTGGCAGCACGAGGAGTCGACGACTTGTTCGCCCACTTCGACACTCTTCCCTACGCGGCAATCCTCTTTCAGCTTCCGGTGACGGCACATCACCAATTCCTTCCGACCAACTTTTCTTTTGCAATGGAGCACTGGTAACAATGTGTCACCAAGGCAGCTTTCGCAACCCAATTTTTCTTCATATCTTACTCGGCCTAGATCGCTTAAGGTGATCCAACAAGTGATCCCATCATTAGATCCCACAATATCACCGGATTTCGCATAGCCCGTCCCCCAAAAGGCCGAACAGGCAGGATTGAGTGGAGTTTCGACCTCGCCAAGGTCTCATCAACCTCCACCACGGAATTAGATACCAAGTCGTAAGTATCACGGAGGTGTAAACCTTCCATTCTACTACACTTCATTCCTATCGAATTCACTTCAATTGACAGTAAAAAATAATTTTCACTTCATTTCACTTAGCTCTATTCAAATATACTTCACTTCACCACATTCCACTCTTATCCACGTCACTCCAATCCACCCCTCCCAACCAGTCGAGTGGGTGCCAGTTGGTCTCAGGGCAGACCCTTCTCGACTCATAATCTCAAAATGGAATTAGGCAGATTAGGCAAACATGTGTTCAAGTTTGCGAGTGACAACGCTATTTATTTTCGCTAAAAGTAGTCTTCAAAAATATAAGTAACGCTTTAATATGAGCTTAGTCAAGCAGCCTGTGATAAAATTATTTTAAAACTCAGTAAAGCCATCTATTGCAAAGGCGAACATGTGTTTGCTCAATCGACAATCCCACATCGCATCTGTTCTGTCATCCACCTGACCCCGTTACCATGACGCGACCCGGTACCTAATCCCGTTGGAGGTGCTAATGCGACCTGTTAAAGCGAGGTCGGAAAATGCGGCGATCTTTTAGGAGGAGTCCTAGGACCTGCTCTTTTGATTGTGGAAAGACTCAACCATTAGTCTTTAACTCATCTCCAACTACAACAGGTAACTATGCTCTTATTTAAGAATTAATGATGGCCACGAAAGCTATTTATGCTGAAAATCAGCTGCCAGAATTGGTGATGACACATTCTCAGTCGGAAGAACACGAAATAAATTGCGTTAAAATGAATTCGACCAAATCTGCTGTCGTCAAATTCCAATGTCTCGCATGATTTTCAAAGCATGTACAGGCATTTCTGGGCCAGGCGTTAGCTCGTGAGACTTCTTGGGACAGGTTTAAAAAGATCCTCTGAATGTCAAGGGACTGAGCGCATGAGAGAACACAAGCCTTGTTCAAGGTTGCCGTCATCCAAAACGAGCAGGAGCAAAAAAGTGAAACAGTAATAAAATATTGTAAAGCTAGTAATGATGCATGTATGCATGAGTGCATGAGAAAGCGGGTTTCTCCTTTCCAACATTTTATCAATTTTCAAAGTTTCCACATTTTTCATTGGCTACCTCAGACATTATAAAGCC